TGCCCGGCGTGGCCGCCCGCTTGGCTCCCGCTCTCCGACGCTGTAACACGATCCCCGGAAATTCCTGGAGAAGGGCCGCCCCCCGCCCCTCTCCTGGAAGCTGCTGGCTCAGCCGCCCGCCCTCTCCTCCCCTTCCCCTCCTCCCCACCGTGCTGCCCGAGTTAATCGGCCTGCCAGGGACCTCGCTAGGTACCAGGACCGTCCCCCCAGGCTGGAGTCCATCTAGGTAGCGATGGCCCAGGCTGCTCTCTCCTGCACTCTGTGCCAGGCTATGACTTCATGGGGACCCTTACCGAGCGGAATTGGTGATGAAGAATCGGCGATTGCTGCGCAGCATCTGGCGAAGCCAGGATCCCGCCAGGAGGAGAAAGGGGGAGAGAAGGGGCCCAAGGAGAGGCGGTGCTTCCCTCCTCGACTCCAAGCCCGAGACATGACTCATAAGAGTCTGCCCTCGCTCTTACTTAGGCCCTAGGAGGAGAGGTGGGCGAGCGCGGAAAGGGGGCGCCAGTGTCTGAACTGGGTGCCCACCGAGGAAAGACTTAAGTCCGTTATCTCCCTCTAAGGCTGACTTGTAGGTTTAGAGGGCGAAGGGGAGGCTGAAGACCAAGATTCCTTCCCCAGTAGAATATAAAGAGGGGTAGGTGGACTGGGGAACTCTACTTTTTAGTTTGGTCGCCGCCCTGGGACACAGGGACTGAGTGCCCTTTGATTACGAGTGACTGGTCACTGTCCTGGCTCCATTGGAATCTTTCTCCCAAGGGCATTTTCTTTTTGCAAAGCCTTGCTGGGTAGGAGAGGGGGGAGCCCATAACCAGTTTCACTGTCAAAGGGGACATCTGGTTCCATGGACAGCTGGGGAGAGTTAGGTACAGATGCTCAGCCTTGATCAGTATGAAACCTTGCGGTGTCGGGAACCGAACGTGAGAATGCACAGCTGACTGGGAAAGGGAAGAGAAGACAACCTGCGAGGAAGGAACTGAGGGAAAATTCTTCATAGGAAGAACTAGCGAATCCAGGAACAATCTGCTCTGGGTGTTTGGAAAACCGACAGAACTTTGAGAGTATTATTGGAAAACCACAGCGTGGCAGAAATTTCTCCCTTGACTGTCTGCCACCAAATCACTGTGCTCTGGATCATCCCCATTGCTCTCTGGACCTCAGTTTCCACAGACACCGTCTGAGGGAGACCAGGCAGATCTTGTTCTAACGTTCTAGAATTTTGGTTCCTCCTCCCTGAGTCCATCGATATTCTTTCCGGTTTACAGTGTCGTGGTCTCTTGGCACTACAGTCTTTTCCTTGACACTGGAAGTTGCTCAAGATGGGAAGCATCAGGGACCAGGCTCGAAGCAGCCGCGTACACCTTCCACAAGCCTGAGCGAATAAACACGTGTCTTCAAAAAACTACAACTTCCAAGAAGCTTTGCTGCCCTTTTATGGGCGGTGTAGCGTATGCTCGCTGCCATTCATAAAGGAAATCTAACTACCGTTCCCAGCAGGCACTACGCTACAGATTAACCAATCAGTTCTCAGTAGAAAACATCGCGAGTCTTCGGGGAGATTTGATTCTATAAGCCTGTGGGACGGACGTCGAGGGTCCTTTTCGCCAAGATGGCGCCGAAAGCGAAGAAGGAAGGTGTGTATTGGGGAATAGGGCTTACGGCGGGTTTGTTTGGGATCCCAGTGGAGCAAATGTGTGGGGACTCTTCGGGTCTGGTTAAGTCCTGAAAGGTCTTACCCGGAGCTGCTTCTCGTGCTTGGAGCACGCTGCGGCGTATGTGAGCCGCGTGAGCTCGGCCGCGTGGGCTGGGTTATATTGAAGGAAGTTAGGGAAGCAGCTCACCCGGCCGTCAGCCACTAGCGAGAGCGGGACATTCATAGGGATTTGGGGAGCTGCACGCATTCACAGGTCGGCTTCAGACCTGTGAGGAATCAGTACCCTCAGCTATACTTTTCTTAATCCGGGCTATATACCCCTCCTGCCGCCGGAGTTTTTGCGGTGTAACTACAGTTTTGCGATGGTGTGTGTAGAACTAGCGTATGTCCTGGCAAGTATCAAGCGTTCAATCAGTGCTAGTTCATTTCTTTGTCATATCTTTGGAATTAGACCAAGTTGATCACATTCTCCCCAAGTACCGTGCATATGATGGAAAAATTTTAATCTGACACTAGTGATGTCTTCAAAGGAACCACTGATGCACGAGTGGCCAGGGGCACCCACTACGTGTCTTGAGGTTGGAAGTGGCCGATTTCTGAATCCTTCAACTTCGTCATCTTTTTCTCCTAGCTCCTGCCCCTCCCAAAGCTGAAGCTAAAGCGAAGGCTTTGAAGGCTAAGAAGGCAGTGCTGAAAGGCGTCCACAGCCACAAAAAAAAGAAGATCCGTACATCACCCACCTTCCGGAGGCCCAAGACGCTCAGGCTGCGGAGGCAGCCTAAACATTCTAAAAACCCCAGGAGAAACAAGTCAGTACTGCTTCTATACCTATGAAAAGATACTTGAGTAGCCTCTGTTGGTGATTAGAAATTCACCCACGTTAGAGCATGGCTTCTCAAACACATTGGTAACCCATTGTTCTTATTTAATGGGCGTGTGAGGAGGTTGTATCTGCCTTATATGAGAATAAGGAAGAGGCCAGTAGGTGGTATGATGGTTAAAGCACTGGGATCCCACATGGTAGATTGTCCTGGACGTAAAGAGTAACAAATTTCTGCAGTACAGGAGGCCATTTTGTTTAGTCTATGAGACTTATTATAGCATCACGTGTGGTGAGGATTTGAAAGTTCACTTTCCTGAGAATATGACGTGAAATTAAAGTAACGCTCTTTATCTTGGAGTTCCAAGGAAGAGCGCCCCCAGGAGAAACAAGTCAGTACTGCTTCTATACCTATGAAAAGATACTTGAGTAGCCTCTGTTGGTGATTAGAAATTCACCCACGTTAGAGCATGGCTTCTCAAACACATTGGTAACCCATTGTTCTTATTTAATGGGCGTGTGAGGAGGTTGTATCTGCCTTATATGAGAATAAGGAAGAGGCCAGTAGGTGGTATGATGGTTAAAGCACTGGGATCCCACATGGTAGATTGTCCTGGACGTAAAGAGTAACAAATTTCTGCAGTACAGGAGGCCATTTTGTTTAGTCTATGAGACTTATTATAGCATCACGTGTGGTGAGGATTTGAAAGTTCACTTTCCTGAGAATATGACGTGAAATTAAAGTAACGCTCTTTATCTTGGAGTTCCAAGTTTAGTTCCTTGCTAGTAGGACCTAATGCTATAGGGAACATTCCTTGAGGTGAGGAGATGTGGGTTGAATGATCATGTGGCCTGACTTACCTATATAGAGTAGTAATGGCCTGCAGCAGTGTACAGAAGCTTCTCTACTTTCCCTAATTTTCATATTACTAAAGATACTACTCAAAGCATAGGTTGGGGAAGTGGGTAAAGGTTTTGGGCAGGTGGATATTTTGGCGTCAAGCTATTCATAATGACTGACTTCTTGGGAATCATAAGAGCCATAGTAGCAGTTGCCACAAGTGGGTTTCTGCTGCTTCCTAAGAGAAGAGTAAGGGAGACTTGTGTCCATGGAGGAAAGCAGTGGACAGATTATTTACTCACACCCCTGTCCTACTTGCTTGGACCTAGAATTTAGCATGGTACATGATGAGGCTTCAAAATAAGACAGTAGTGCCCGGGTGAGCAGAGCCTGGCTTCTGTATGTTGTGGGATGAAGCTGTGTTCTGGCTATGTTAAAACCTTCATAAGTTTAACCTGAGGTAAAAATAAAAGTTGCTGTCAAGAATAGGTGGTCCTTGCTGCCAATTCCCTGATGCAGTGGTAATATGACATGATGCCCATGTTTCAGATCCCTACCTGTTCAGCCTGAAACCTGTCAGGCACATAAGTGGCTGGCATGACCAGATTTGAGTGGAAGGTGCTAAGATCTGTCTATCCTACCTCCTGTAAACATGTATTTTACCATTAATAAAGAAGAAAAATTAGCGGCCTTCAATCATACAGCTATTTTTTGCAACAAGAGAGGGTAATGTTTGATCTAACCTGAGTGAGGCACTAACATGAAATGAGTTCAGATTGAAGATTTTTTTTAATTTGCACGTGCTTTCTGTATGTATGTGTTTATGTACGTATCTTAATTTGCCCAGAGAAGGACAGAGAAACGGTGAGAAAAAGCAAGCTGCCGGGTTTGGAACTCAAACCAGTGCCCTTAACCACCATGCCACTTGCTAGCCCCCCCCCCCTTTTTTTTAAGAGATTTTTGCTATAGGGTGTGTACATCATGTACTCACTGGAGAGATGCAGAAAGTGAGAAATCATGTCCCACCCCCAGGGGTAGGGGTGGCATGCCGCAGTTCCTTCTCCAGTCTTCTCTCAGGATTTTGGCCACACACGGGCCCAGTGTGAGCTTCAAACCTTCAGGTCTGGGACTCAAACTGCAGTAGGTCAGGTGGGAGTCCAGCTACATAACCGTTACACTATTTGATGGTCCCTGCATGTGCTCTTATTATGAAAAAATGGGGAGGGGAGAAAGCAACCCCCAGGAGGATAGCTATACTATAGACCTTTCTACTCTGTTCTCAGGGTTTTGGGGACACAGGCATAGGTGCCCAGCATACTTTTTTTTTCTTTTTTAAAGAGATTTTTGCTATAGGGTACATGCACTTACCAGAGACACAAAGTGAGAAATCACACACACACACCTGTTGGAGGGTATGCCACAATCTATTTCATTCTCTCAGTATCTTGGGCACGCACACGCATCCGGCGTGAATTTTAAGCTGCTGGGTCCAGAACTCGAACTGTGATCGACTACATGGGAGTCTAGTGATAGAACCATTAGGCCATCTGCTTGTCCCCACCTGGCGCATTTATCAAACTGCCAGGTCCAAGACTTGAACCACACAGTCAACTATGTGGGATCCAGCCACTTTAACCACCATGCCAACTGACTGGCCTCAAGGCAGTTTTTTTGTTGTTGTTGTTTTTTAATTAATTATTTATTTCCATTTGCTGTTGTATCAGAGAAAGAGAGAATAGGGGTAACGAGAGCAAGCTGCCAGGTCTGGGACTCGAACCGTGGTTGGCCATGTGGGCAATCCAGCACCCTTAACCACCGTGCCACCTGCCAGCCCCTCAAAGTAGATTCTTTAGTCACTTAACGAGATCCTTTCAGGTGAAAGAAAAATACACTAAAGGGTTCTGTTGCTTCTTAACCCCCACTCCCTCACGCTACGGTTTCAGGGTGCAAATGATGACATTATTCAGCGACCAAAGTCTGACAGAAATGATTGCTTCTCAGTGTCTGATGCACCTCAGCTCTCCTGGTCTTGGGCTCCAATGAGGACCTGTCCTTTCTAATACTGGACTTAGGTCACCTCACTTTGCTTCTCCCCCAGGCTTGACCACTATGCTATCATCAAGTTCCCCCTGACAACCGAGTCTGCCATGAAGAAGATAGAGGACAACAACACACTTGTGTTCATCGTGGATGTCAAGGCCAACAAGCACCAGATCAAACAGGCTGTGAAGAAGCTCTATGATATTGATGTGGCCAAGGTCAACACTCTAATCAGGTAAGTGCAACCTCATGGGATAGGGAAGAAGCTGGGACCACACCCAGGAAACCGAAAGCGAGTTTGGCAAAGTCCCTTGATGATGCTCTTAGGGCCGGAAGTCTGTAGGAGCTTTGGGAAATGAGCACCCCTGCTGTGATTATAGTGCTTTGTTTGCAGTGTAGACCTCAGGAAACTGCCTTCTGGGATTTGGTTTACCCAGTTGGTGCTTGTTTTCTGGATCCCTACCATGGTTTATGTCAGATTACCTGGGTTTAAGTCTTTTTTAAATTCACCGAAGTGGTGAAATGAAAAGGCACTCCCCCAAGGAGGATGGTCACATTGCAGTCTCCTCTTCCTCCACTTTGAATTTTGAACATAAACATGCACATGCCACAGCATGTTTTCTAAGCTGGCAGGTCCAGGAGTCCAACCATGCAGCCTGCCATGTGGGATCTAGCCACCTCAACGACCAGCCTCAGGCTAGCCCAGGTCTTTTCAAAGGTTTTTGTCATAGTGCATGTGTGCTCACCAAAGAGAGGCAAAGGGAAAAATGAGAAATCACCCCCTAGAGAACAGATGACCACGCTGCAATCCCTTCTTTAGGAATTTTGGCCATGTGTGCACATAGCTTAGCATGATTTTCAAACAGCCAAGTCTGGGACTCTGGTCAGCCACGTGGGAGTCCAGTGCCTTAACCACCATGCCACCTGCTTGCCCCCAGATTTAAGTCTCAAATGCCCTGTAGTGTTTCTCCTTGGGAATTGGTTCTGTGGTTTTATGGCTCCCATAACCCTCTGCACAATGATGGAAACAAACTATTTAGAAGAGAATGATATGAACAAAGGAACCACTGATGTGCCAGAGGAGTGGGGAGGAAGCCCCATCTGGGGACAAGGAGAGCAGCAGAGCCTAAGGCTTTCTTCTCCACCCCAGGCCTGATGGAGAGAAGAAGGCGTATGTGCGACTGGCTCCCGATTACGATGCTCTGGATGTTGCCAACAAAGTAAGCTTCCTTCCCTGCTCTGCTTTTCCACCACCTACCCCAGTGCTGGTGATGGGCCTGTTAGTGACCAAAGCCTAACTTGTGCTGATTAGTCAGAACTGACTGAGTGCACTGTCTTCAACAAGACTTTACCTCGTGTGCCCTCTTTGTGCTTTTTAACCATGAAATTCCATCTTAATCTTCACATTTCAGTTCCAGTAACAAAGCTCCTTTTTGTTTTCCAGATTGGGATCATCTAAAGCAAGTCCAGCTGGCTAATTCTAAATACACATTTTTCCACCCTATATATGCTTCTTGTGTTTCTGGTTGGGCTGGCGGGGGAAGGGACAAACTGGTGTGCACTGAGGGAATAGGGTGTGGGCAACACCCTGATCCTCCTGCTCTGTGGGAACACTCACCCATCACTTCACTGTACTTGTTAAAAATCCCAGGTGGTAGAAGCTCAGGTTCCAGAGACATCTCTGACTCAGACTAGGGTTAATTGTCCCAAGATAACAGGCTTTACAAGAACACCTCCCTTCATCCCTGGAAGAGGCTGTATGTGAAACCAGTACCCAGAGTCAGAGGAAGAGAGTTTCAGGCTTTTCATTAGCATCCATTTCAGGGCAGTGTGGGTTGGCTGCTGTTGGGGTAGCACCTGTCTTCACACCCATCTACCGTGTCCAACCGGTCTGTCTGCTGCTCACCCCTTGCCCAAGAAAGGACAAGGACTTCAGAGTACATTAGGGTTTTCAATAGTGGGTGCAGGCCTGGAAGGCAGAGCGGCTGGTCCCAGAGGACACGGCCTTGGAGCCAAGCCCCAGTTTGTGTCTCCTTGGTTGTCGTTGCTGTCCTTGCCACAAACGCCAGGCTCTGCACTTCTCACTCAGTCAAAAACTTGTCTTTGTGTTGCCGGCTGGGGACACGCTCAGGGCAGAAGTCAGAACGGAGTAGGCGAGAGAAGTAGATGAGGATCATCACGTCCAGCATGAGTAGGATGCCCAGGAGGAAGGTGCCCAGGGTCCTCTGGCCCGCATAACCCAAGAAGAAGTGGGTGAGGTAGGCCTGAGGCGCCAGGCGAAAGAGAAAGTACATGACCAAGTTGACATACTTGTTGACCCGGTAGAGGAGGTGGTCCTGGGCGTTGCTGATCTTCATCATCATGCGGATGGTGAGGAAGATGTTGCTCACCTCCACCAGCAGCGTAAGGACACCACCACCAACAAAGCTGCGCCAAAAAATGCCTGAGAAGAAGGCACCCATGGCCTAGGGGGCAAATGGAGAAAACAGGTTTGGGATCCCAGGTGCCAAGGCATGGCTGGAAGTCAGTGGGGGTATCAGGCTACCAGATGAGGGGCTGGAATATTCATATTTTCCTTCTGGAATAACCGTTTCCGGTAGGTAAATTTGTTTTCATTAACAGACTGATCCCTGCCCATAGGTTCTGGCTCTGGGTGGCCTTTACACGCATTTTAGAGGCAGTAGGTAGGGCCTCAAACTGAGCAAGGGCACAAGGATAGGCCCAACCCTTAGCATCCTAACATGAGAAGTAGGACACAGGTGTGATGTGTGGGAACAAGGTGGCCTCCAACTCAGGTTCTGGCTGAGACTAGGTCACTAGTCCACATCACCAGCTTCTTACCATGACATGATGGACAAGGTATTCCCAAGAAGCTCGCACTTGATGACTAATCACGATGTCCACTGTGTCGTGAATGAAATACCCTAGCAAAGAAATGAGGTCATGAAGGAGTCTGACCAAAAGGCTCCCTGTTCACCTTTACACTCCTGGGAAAGACCTACCTGCAGAGAAGCAAACGAGCAAATAGCCAGAAAGCGACCACGCCGTCTCGATCTCCACCAGCATCTCTGGGGTCTGCCATATACTGGAAGGGAGGGAAGCAGGGAGGTTCTTGCGGCACGCTCAGGACCCTCACCTCCCTGACTACCCCGGCCATTCCCAGGGGAGTTTGGGCTCGCGCTATTGGCTGGCAAGGGGGCGAGGAGGAGCTTGGCCACAACCCAGGTGCCTCCGGTTTCCAGGTGAGATCCTCTTCCCCTGGGGCCGCGGCCGTCCCTGGTTGGTTAGGGTTCCAAACAGAGCATCAGGTGAGACTGCATGGCCTCCCCCCACGTCCGTGATTGGAATAGTAACACGGGAGCCAGTCGCGGCGCCCCGTGACGGATCCCTTAGCCACTTCACTCCCCCGGTCGCTCACTCACCACAGCAGCGCCCAGATCCCTGACACGATGGAGTGAGCGAAAGATACGAGCAAGTTGTGCCAGCGCCAGGTGCGCAGGGGGTCGGCGCGCACGTGTGCGGGCAGAGGCAGGCGGCAGAGAGCGCGCCGGAGTGCCCGGAAGGTCAGCGTTGCGCCCAGGAGCAGCGGCAGGGCGGGGTGCAGCAGAGGGGGCATGCTGGCCCTCCCTGCCTTCTGTCTGTCCGCCCTCTAGGCCGCCTCTCGGGCCGTCCTGGGAACCCAGCTCCCGC